TATTATAGATTGAAATAATAGTAGTTTTTACGGAATTTATCGCGTATATTTAACTTTTTAATTACCCGACGTTTCGAACGCTTTACAGCACTCATGGTCACGCCCGTCCTGGTCGCAGGTCCTGCCCGTGACCATGAGTGCTGTAAAGCGTAAAGGCCCCAGTCTTGTAAAAATTAGTATTCTCGCAAAATTTACAGCATAACAAATATTTTTTATAGTATTTAAAAAAGAAAAAGTGAAACATATCTTACATTTATTTAAAGTGTAGGACTTGATATTTTCGAAACTGTTTTTAATTTTATTTTGGTGTTTAAATTAATAGCTCTATTAGGCGTTAAACATGCCTATGTTTAGGTTACATGCTTAAAAGGTCTTATTAAAGCCAATGCTATGCACAAACTATAGCAATATCAAGAAATTTATTCAGATTACATTTATTTGCATATTGTCTACAATAATCTGATTTGGTCACTTTTTTTATAAATGCTTCAATTTTCTTATTTGAAGGGCTTAAAAAGTTGTAATTTCATGATTTTTTTTACTGCAAATATCTATTTTTTTTCTGTTAGAAGTATAAATGTAGCAAAGTCGTACGTAAAACCACATAAAATAGAACTATTTTTAAGTGAATTATAAATAAATAAAATTAAAAAATATATATTTTCGTACTTTTTATCCATATATTTCATTTATAAATCAGAAACGCTTGAAAATTCTCTCGGTTCCGCTGGGATTTCTCGGCGTTCAGGCTTATGCTTTGATCAACAATACCAACTAGATGCCGGATCAGCGCAAGAAACCCATCTCAGTACATAACAGCGCACATGAGACGTGAGCTCTTGTTTCGTTTAGTTCACTTGAAACACAGCCAATGTAAACACGTTTCACAATGCCGCAATGTGTATTTAAAAGTTGCAAGAATAATGCCCGAAAAAAGTAATTTAACGGCCGGAGTGTCTTACTTTCGGTAATTACATGTATAATATGTTATATTTTAAGCTCTAAGCTAACAAATAATATCATATTTGGAACAAAATTACCGATCAAAACCACCCCTACAAATGTTTTGCCAAGGTTGACCAATATACGGGCAAACATTTGTGAAACAGAACATAGACGCATGAAGTAGACTTTTATTGTAATATTTTTAATAATTTTTTACCAAAACTTTAAATAATGGTAATTGCTACTTTTGTCTTTGTTTGTGTAATTCCATTAGATACTTAGCTTCTTTATTTTAGCTTTCCTAGCAATTCGTTTAAGTGTGCAGAATGGACCTCGATTGTCACCAGAGAAAGAAGAGATGACTTTTATAAGCCAGCTAAGAAGTCGGTTATATGTTCGGATCACTTTGATAAGTCAGATATACCTATCTGAAAATTCTAATCGACGTCGGTTGGTTAAAACAGCATTCTTTTTGTATTTTTTTCTTGTTTTTTTTTTGTTTCCTAGAGGAGATGAACACAACCACGAAGTTACTTTACTCAAATCAGTAGTTGAAAAATTTATTGACGTAAGGTTACATTACATATGTAAAAAAGAAAGGGGATATATCAAAAATAAATCAAAACGACAATTGTACAACAAACTCAACTTATTTAAAGGAAATTAATTCATGTAAGCACAAAGAAAAAAATCTTTAATGTTAATTCGTTATCGTTAATCGTCATTTTGTAAATACTAGGAACAAACACAAGCTAGTAGTACCACTTACTCGACTCCACGGTGATGTACACGCTTTTATAACAATATTCTAGAAAATATACAAAATTTGATGTTATAATATTAAGGAATTTATGGATGATAATAACCCCTAGGAAAGGTGATCGCTATCAAGCTATTTCTAAATTGTTTTGTGTTGTTAAATGTACTATACATAATTGTAAGCTGTTATTTAAAAAAAATAGTCCCGCGAGTTCCTTGTTGGTTCCTAACAGGACAGAGGTTTTTTTTTAGGAACCAGTGGTAAAATAAAAAAGTGACTTTCAATAAGTATTATTTAATCTATATTGAATATAAAAGTTTGTTTCCGTTTCTGTTATAAATATTTTGATTTTCGATTTATTGATTGCACTGAAATGTACGTGAATATAAAGATGTGGAATTTAGTGATATTTTTATTTGTAACATACAGCTATTGACACCTTTGGCAGCCGCCAATATTACATACATATGAAAAACAAAAAGCGTACTTGCAGTTTATTACTTTTTGTGTACTACACATAAAACACTTTTAAATAAAATAATCCTATTATACACAAAAACATAAAATAATTAGTATTTTATTTATTTATTGTTCTTTATTGTACACCAACACAAAGAAGTCTACCTGACGGTAAGTGGTTGCTGTGGCCTATAGACATCTACATTTATTCTCGATTATTGCGTTGTCACTCTTGAGGACTAAGATGGAATGCCTCGTTTTCAGTAAAAAGGGTATCCGGTTCTCTACACTCATCATACGAAACACAGCAGCATTAAGCTACTATTTTACGCTGGTATTCTGTGAGAGCGTGGTTCTTCCCAGGTCGAGCTGACCCATTCGTGCTACAACTATATTACTAATTATATATATATATATATATATATATATATATATATAGATACATACATACTACGGACATATATATATGCAAAAACTCAAATAGATATATATTTTATTTATTTATTTTTACAAAATATAGTTATTAAATAACATCCGACAGTACAAATAAACTTACAAAAGTTTTTCCATGTACCGCCGATTCGTAACTACGACCATGTTCAATCGGTTCGCGTAGCGACAACTTACATAATACATGGTGTGACAATATTTTGACAATATTTTTTTTAACTATATGTGTACCACAGGAAAGGACAGTTAGTGAGTTGATAAATAATATTAGTAATCGAGATATTAATGTTACGATTGTGTGTATCTATGTATATATTTATTAGTAGATTTGTATTTATGTATATTATGTGTGTTAGTATAGTTTTTTTTAGTATAAATTATTAGTAGGTGTCGTTATCAATTTGTCTATAAAATACTGTTTGAGCTTATATTTAATATTTTTCTTAGTAAGTTCATTTTTTATTGCTTTTGGAATTTGGTTCAAAAAGAGCGGGAACTTGATATTGTAACCTAAATTTTCCATACATATTTTTATATTTTGGTATCGTCATATATGGATTAGGGGCTTGTCGTGTAAGGTTTGTATAGATACGGCTAATTTTTTTAATTCTTCCTTGCTATAATTTTCAAGCAGTATTTGGTATTTCACCCTGTCGTGTACTGGTAGTATATTGCAATGATGAAAGAGACCATAGGGATTTTTTTTTAATTTATCTTTGATTTTGAGAGGGATGGTACATTTAAGAATGCGCAATTGTAGCTCGTATATTTTTTCAAGGTAGGTTTTATACGTGCGTCCATAACTGCTTAACCCATACGAAACTATTGATTCGCCGAGTGCTTTATATAGTAACATTAGCATGTGGTAAGGTACTTTACTCTTGATGAGGTAAAATTTTGCTAAGATCGCTCGTAGCTTATCACATACAGATTCAATGTGATAAGTCCATTTCATACGGTCATCGATTATTAAACCTAAATATCTACATTTTTCTACCACTTCAATCTGGGGACATTCACAATTATTATTATGGGTTGAACTTTGGATATTATGAAGACATGTATGATTATAAGCTATAAGATTAATGTCATGTTTTAATCTATTTTGACTCGAGCTCACGTACATTATTTTAGTCTTATTCGAATTAAGTACAAGACATGCGTCATGTGACCATTGCATGAGCCTCGTAAAATCCTCCTGTAACAGTTTTACCGCCTTATTCATATTGTGGTGGGCTGCTAACAGACAGGTATCGTCAGCAAATTGGAAGATTTTACAGTTGTTAACCACATTGTTGATATTATTCACGTAAGTGATGTAGTGTAGCGGTCCTAATACAGATTCCTGTGCTGTTCCTTCACTCACCAAAACTTTATTACTTAAGGTATCCCCTACCTTGACATAGTAACAACGATTTTTGAGATAGTCCTGACACCAGTTAAGAATCGGCCCTCTAATTCCACAGTCATCTAGTCGCTCTAGTAATACATCATGGCGTAAAGTATCGAATGCCCTGCTATAGTCGATAAATAACAGCAATACATGTTTTCTCTCATTAAGATTTTCATATACGTTATTAGTAAATAGTGAAAGTAGTTGCGTTGTGCTTTTTTTAAGTTGAAACCCAAACTGTGTGTCATTAAGAATGTTATTTAGCCCGTAAAAGTTGTAAATTTGTCTAGCTATGTATTTTTCTATAATCTTATCTATCGTGGGTAATATAATTATATGACGGTAATTATCATAATCTTGTTTGCTTCCCTTTTTGTATATAGGTCTCACAATTCCAGTTTTCAATTCGTCAGGATATTTATTAGTCTTTATGCAGACATTTACCAGTTTTGCGATATCCGGAGCAATTTCTTCGCAAATTCGTTTTATATCTATCGCCCGAATTCTATCAAGACCCGGAGCTTTGTTAACGTTTATTGTTTTTATAATTTTAAGGATCTCTTTAGGTGTCGCTTTTTGAAAATTCATTGTTACGTTAACTGGTTGTCTGTATTCTATTTTATCTAAAATATTATTTTACATAGAGGTATTATGTTTTGAACGCCACTATGAAATTTATTCGCAAAGTTATTTGCAATTATATTTTTATTTTTGTTTGTGCCCCCAAACGCATTTAAGAGTACTGTATCCACTGTCTTACGCACCCTACCTGTTATTCTGTTAGGAATAAACCAGAGTTGTTTTAAATTACCTTCATATTTATGTATTTCATTATAAATGTATTTATTTTTGCAGGATCTAATTAATTTATTTGCATAGTTTCGCGCTTTATTATATTGTGTTTTTAAAATTTTATTATTATTATCTTTTATCCATTGGTAAAATAGTTTATCTCTATACTCACAAGCTTTGATAATACGTGAACTTATCCATTTATTTTGTTTTAACAGTTTCTGACGGTAGAACCACACGTAGTTTTCCGGAATTATTTCTATTGTAACCAAAGCACTTTACTTCAATAATGTTTTCTTCTAATTCAAGTTTTTGTTGTATTTTTTGCACGACGTTTAAAAGATCCTCGTTGTCAGTGAATGGGATATTAAAAATATCAATAGTTTTAATAAGCTGTTGCTGTTCTTGTTCTTGTAAACGCTGTTCTAATGCACTTATTCTATATTCTAAGTTTTTATTTTGGTTAGATAATTCGATATTCTTTTTTATTTTTTTGACTGTAGTTTTAAATGCGTCTACGGTTTCGAGTATATCATCAAGTTTTCTAGCATTGAATTCCAAAGACTCTGCAAACTGGCTCAATTGACGTTGAATAGCACACTCCACTTTTAATGATATTTCTAGCAGCAATTTTTTACCATCTAATGGAACAGATGCTAAGGTTATAGGCGATCCAAATGCTTCATCATCATCATCTTCAGGTATCACAATCGAAGTTCGTCTAGATGAAGTGTTTTTGCATTCAGAGCACGACCAATCTAGGTTTTCACTTGCCCGAAGCGCATTCCTCTGTTTGGTGGTAAGCCCTGAGCATTCTGTGTTCAGATGCATCATCTTCTCACAACTCCACACCAGGACGAGCCTTTGTAATATTTTTGTTGCATTTTTCACACTTCGACATAATGCTGTTAGACACATAATTATTTGCCGCTACCAAACATCCGATCGACATGAGCGAGCGAGGCCGAATGAATTGAATTAGTTAATTAAATACAATCAATATACTACATACTATTTAATATTTCTTGACTGGAAGTATGTATACCAACGATCATAAATGCCCAAAACATAAAAATAATTTTAATTAAACTTATGATCATAATATAAATAATTTTAGTGTTCAACGCGACTCAATACTTCCAGGGCCAAATTCGAAGAAGAAAACAGAAACATAACAAAAAGACGTAGCTCGTAAGGCAATAACGGGAAAAAGTACTTTATTTGTTATAGCTTAAGGTTGATTTCACACAAAATGTTATTTAACCTATGTCTTTTTATTTTCAAGTGATAGGAGTATTGTATAGCTTCGTTCTTTTTTTATGACTAATGAACTAATGATCGTAAGATTTGTGACTTTATTACTAGATGCGACGGTTGTTATTCGGTTGAGGTCTGCTTATTATTCTTTTATTTTATTTTTAGGTCTCCATATCAAAGTCAAAGTGGTCTAATTTCATAATTCGTCCATTTTTAACTCTCGCGTGCCCAGCATTTATGAACGACTCTTATTCTAATTTAAATAAATATATTTGTAATTTAAATGTTATGTTAATAAGTTTGTTAAACATACATTCAGTATGTTTTTGTAATTTGACATAGATACCTTTTAAAATATTCGGATAAAAGTATCATTAAAATTTTATTGGGATATAATATTGTGTAATATTATATTAAACAAGCAAATATAATTGTTCGCGACGGCCTAACAACCTTAAGAAACAAAATGATAAAGAATATTGTTTTATGTATTAATAGTGAAATTACCAAGAAAACTGAGTGAAAACGTGTATTAATATAGTTATTTAGCATATTTATAACTCTCAATATGTTTGTATAGAATGTCGTTTTGATAACAAGTAATATAAACAACTTTTATTATATACCAAGAAATCGACCAATCACAGCGCGTCTTATCGTGGAACTCTCTAGAAGTTTTTTAATTAACTGCGTAATAGATCATACTAAAAATAATGAAAATAATTTTATGTCCTAAAAGAGTTATAAATATGACATTGAATTAGCATATGGCTTATAGATTAAGAAAGTGTAGGAATACTTTGTATAATTAAACGCATTTCGTAGTTATAGAAAAATTAAAGAATTAAAATGCCCAAATATTATGAAAATTTGGGACATTTCGTTTAATAACTTTTTTACAATGTTAATGTTTTTAGTAACCTTTATGATATACTAATAAAGTATCAGACTACCGATTTAATGATGTATAGCATGTTAGTGTAGCAATTAGTTTTGTATAGAAAATATTGCAATTTATGCCATTTGTATAGTGATAAGTTTATGCAATAAAGAGGCAAAACGGAAAATGGCAAGCGGCTCACTGTAAAGTATTGCTAAAGTCTACCTTAGGGGCTCGGGGCCCAGTATCCGTAGTAGTGTGAAGAACTACCAGTGACAAGTGAAGTGAAGTGAGTGGTATCCGGTGGTAGCTGAAGTGACTAGTAGCAGTATATAGTGAATAGTGAAAGTGTTAGCTAGCCGAAAAAGGTCGTAACTGACATTCGCAGTTACACATAGTGAAAGTGTTAGCTAGCCGAAAAAGGTCGTAACTGACATTCGCAGTTACATAGTGAAAGTGTTAGCTAGCCTACAAAAGGTCGTAACTGACATTCGCAGTTACACATAGTGAAAGTGTTACCTAGCCTAAAAAGGTCGTAACTGATATTCGCAGTTACATATAGTGAAAGTGGTAACTGATATCCGCAGTTACACAAGTGATAAAATCAGCTAGTTTAGTTGATAATAGCTGCTAGTCAGTAGTGTTAGAAAACCAGCTACTACCAATAGATATTTGATACCACCGTACAATTTAAAGAAATCTTTTGAAATATACCAGTGAACAACCGTAGTTTAACAACCGTGATAAATAGTTATAAAATTTCGCGACTAATCAATCAGTCGAACCGCTGGCCACTACCTTGCTATTTGCATTTGTTAATCGTGCATTTTGATTTTAACTACAGTCCACAATATTTCAGCGGCACCAACAAAGACGGCGGTGAGAGTACCCACCGGAACCTATAGGTGTAGGACGTGAGCGACTCGCGAAGTATCTTCGACAACATTTACTCCGGAGAGTTTCGCCCGTCCGGCACATTCGTTGGTCCTTCGAGCCGGATCTATCCGTTCGTATTTCGGAACCGGGTAAATAGTCACCACCGTATTAAAACCGCAGAATTTTCAGATTCAAGATACCGATCACCCGTTCGCAAGGAAGGGCAGCCAAGGCGTGGACCGTCGGTCTGGAAGGAGGTTCGTCGGCCAGTAACGCCGCCGTCCACCACCAGGTGCCACCACGCTCACCGTCAACAATAGAGGGCGCTGAGGCGCCATGCTGCCCCCCCGAGGGGGGGATACCCCTGCCCGCGCCGTCCACTACGGCCCGCACAACGAAGCAGAGGGAACATCTAGAAGGCAACGATGACTTTAGCCGTGCATCATCGCCACCAGCCCGGGAAGACACCCACACCGAAGAGCCACCGAGGGGCCACACCGATTGCAGTACGAAGTCTAAGAAGACTGTTCGGCCCAATAGAAGAATTTTGAAGGCTCGTGAAGAAGTATTGAAGATCAAACTAGAACTTGCGCAGATCTCCTTGCAGATGGCTGTGGAAGAGGACGAATCGGACGACTATGATGAAGATGGTCACTCCAAAAGTGAGTACGTTCGATCTTGGCTCGAAAACTCTGTAGCCAAACAAAAGTCAAATCAAGGCGCAATCACCGGAGGGAAGGCACCATTTAATAAAACCGTCACAAAGCCGACCCCGGACGTTGTCGACCTCAGTGAGCCCCAAAAGGAGCTCACGAACCAGGATTCCTATCCAGAAGATGCACAAAAGGATCCCATGCCACAGAAGCTCAGCCAGGAACCCACCGGTGATGAAGACAGGGGGCTCCTACCGATTGTATCAGAGCTCACAAACCAGGATTCCTATCCAGAAGATGTACAAAAGGATCCCAATCCAAAGAAACCTAGCCAGGAACCTGTCATAAGTGAAGACAGGGGGGCTCCGTCCGTTTATATCGGAGCTCACATCCGCTATAGCCGCGCTCGCTGACAAACCAAAGTTAGAGAGTGCGCCACTATCGTCGCATACTTTCGCAGCGTCGAAAGCTATAATGACACTGCCAAGCTTTAGCGGAGCACATACCGAGTGGCTTTCATTCCGTGCCATTTACGAAACAACCCGAGGCTACTTCAATGACATTGAAAACACTGCTAGACTAAGACGAAGTCTACAAGGAAGAGCCTTGGAAACAGTCAGTTCAGAACTCATCGGGCATGCTAAGCCAGATGAGATTATGCGAGAACTGGAGCTACAATTTGGGCGTCCAGATTCAATCGCGCAAGCAGAAACCGAGAAATTACGAGGATTAGCACGCTGTACAGAATCACCTAGAACATCTGCACATCGCGAGCAAAGTGAGGGGAAGCGTCGTCCTCAGAGCCCAACAACATTACCTCTCAACGCGAGCTGCTACGACACCTCACCGACAAACTGCCGAACTCTATACGTGCCCAGTGGTATAGAATCTACACCGAAAAATACGACTCTAGACCAGACCTCGGCTGCTTCAGCGAGTTTATTACCGAGCAAGCTCGCTTCTGCAGTGCATTTGCGCCTCCAGAAATTATAAACGAAGCACAAAGCAATCGTTCAGTACATAGAGCACACGCGGCTACTACTAAGCCGTCTCCGAAATGCAGAGTGTGCGAAAAGGAGGGTCACTACGGATCTGAATGTAAAAAATTTAAGGAAGCAAATACCAACAAAAGATGGGAACTCGCAAAGCAAAATAATTTATGTTTCCGCTGTTTACGTTATCGAAATCAGACGCACAAATGCAAAACCAATAAGTGTGGAATAGAAGGATGCACCGCGACACACAATCGACTTCTCCATAACAATACAAAGGAGAAGACTGAGGTCAAACAAAAAGAACCTCAAGAAACTGTTGCTAACTCATTCGCTGTGTCAAAGCATCAAGCCTATTTAAAAATAATTCCAGTGCGAGTAATTGGACCGGCGGGAGCTGTAAACACACACGCCCTGCTGGATGATGGGTCAACAGTTTCACTAATGGATGAAGAGATCGCCAAACAAATTGGAGCTACAGGGCGGTTGGACCCGTTTAAGATCACCGCTATCGGGAACACTACCCTCGATTCACCGGAATCTCGAAGAATCAAAGTATCGCTGAAGAGTCTCCACAGCAAAAGGGTGCCATTCAGAGCACGCACGGTTGCAAGCCTAAACTTGGGGCCACAGACTGTGCGTGCAGCAGACATAGCCAAGTGCAACCACTTGAAAGACATAAAGGAGCAGCTAACATATGACTCCGGCAACCCAAGGATCCTAATAGGACTGGACAATTGGAGACTTCTGATAGCCACTCAAATCCGAAGAGGTCCGCCGCACCAGCCAATCGCCTCGCTCACAGAATTAGGATAGGTGCTACACGGGGCACACACTAAAGCCCCGTATCAGCGCGTCCACGCGGCCAATGAGCTGCACAAGAGCGAGGTTACTATAGATGACCAACTCCGCGAATATTTCGCGCTGGAATCTCTCATTATCAATCCGAGAAGACCAGACTCCGACCCAGAGAAGAAAGCTGAAGATATACTAAATAGCAGCACCCGTCAGTTACAAGACGGGCACATAGAAACAGCGCTTCTCTGGAAGAAAAAGGATATCGAGATGCCTGGTAATTACGAAACAGCAATAAAACGGCTCGTTTTCATTGAAAGAAAATTAGATCGAGACGAAGATCTAAAAAGGAAATATGATGAACAAATGAATTCCCTAGTA